CTAAATAATCATAAGTAAAAACCCATTGGAGCCAAATGGCCTTGTGTTAAAGCTTCTTGATCATTGCACAGTTGCAAAATGGTGATATATCATGAGATAATATAATACTTCTTACCAAAAGGTAAAAAGATGAGAAAATAGCATGCACAATTTTTTTGTCAAAAGTATTATAATGCATTAGTACGAACTTTTTTCATTGTCTAAATAATTCAAAAAATAAAGATTAAAAAGGAAAAATAAAAATAATGAAAAAATCATGTTAATATCCATTTTATTGAATGCTACTTAAAATTATTGGTAATTTACTGGTATTGCATCTATTCCCAGATTTTTTGGTGGTTATGAAATTATCTTTATTTCGGGTCTTCAATAACTGAAATCAATAAAAAATTCGAGAGGATATTTCTTTTTCTTTTTTTCGCTAAAACAAAAAGATTTTCAATATACAAATCTAAGAAAAAGTACATGATCCAGCAAGAAAATGTAATTTTTGGATGCCGAAAATCTGAAAATTTAACTTTAAAGTAAATTTCAGATTTTTGAAATCCGAAAATATTTAGTGATGCTACCATGCATTTTCAGATTTTAAAAATCTAAAAATTTAATTTTAAAATAAATTTTAGATTTACATAAGGATGGGTTTATATGAGTCCCGAGTGAACCATCTTACACATGGATTTTAATTATATTTTGAATTATTTTATACTTATGGGATTTGAATTTAAGATATATACAGATAGATGGCTATAACCATCTTAAAAATGAATTTAAAATGGAGAAAATTAGTTTTTAATAAGATTTTTTTACACCTATGGCCCCATTAAACCATCTTTATCCAAATCTCGTACGGACAAGCACTACTAGAGTTTGGTATAAGAGATGGACCTTTCTCACAACCGGTACCTCCACCAGCCCAAAAAGAAACTCTCTCTCAAAAAAAAATAGACCTTTCTCTCTCTTCATTTTACCGTTCTTCAATATTTTCTCTCTCTTCATTCTGAAGTTCTTAATATATTCTCACCCCCCTTATGCATGCCTTTTAAGTCCTCTTTCAACAAAATTTCGACCAAGCTCTTTGTTTCTCTACATGCTGTTAAATCCTCTTTCAACAAAATTTCGACCGAGCTCTTGTTTTGTCTGCAGATACTTTTGCAATGGAATCCTACAACAACATCGGTTGCAGACTTTCAATCCTTGCGCGTTCAGCTCCATGTGTGCAATGCGACCGGAATGTGGGTATCAAATTTTTTGTCAGAAAGACGGTGACATTTACAAACGTTTCGACAACCGGAGATGGCTATTGCTCGGATTCAATTGAATTTTTTGCCAATGAGATGGCATCCTCTATTAACCTAGACCTGCGAACTCAAGAAAGCGCATACCTCTACATTTTTCGCGAGTTAGAGTACTTCATACCTTCACAGATCGTCCATGGCCTCAGTTGGGAAATTGCCCATCATGCCCGTGTCGAAGCGATCTCCCGCCACGAGCCCAACATGCAAGTGCAATTGCGTTTCTTTATAGATATCAAACACGTGAGAGAAATTGTAGATGGTGAGCACCCCGAACCCGAAACCGAAGCCCTCCAACAAGAGGAGGAAATTATTGCAGATGAAATTCTGGAAGATGAGATTGAGGAAACGGCAACAGAGTTCGAGTTTCGCCAATTCATCGAACTCTCTTCGCAAGAGGGATACATTTTCGAAGGTGAATACCGAACAATGGAAACCGACAATCTCCAGCTACTTAGAGCCATTGAAGCATTCGCACAGGTGGATTTTCCTCTGAGACCGGCTGCAAGATCAGCAGTACAGTCTTTAGCCAGGCCTGATATCGAAGCGCAAGAAGAGGTTGTTTGCACTGTGTGCATGTGCAACATAAGTACTGGGGATGGGAGGGTACTCCCATGCTCTCACATCTATCATGCGGATTGCATCTTCCGGTGGTTGGAATTGAGAAATTCATGTCCAATATGCCGATTCCAGCTCCCTGTCCAAGAGTGACCATCTGTAAAACCCTATATTTACTTGAAAATTATAACTTTTGTGTTCAACATCTGATATCTTTTTAGTTTTGAATGCTATTTTTATGGTTGATGCCAATGTTAGAGGGATTCAATGCAATTATATCCGGTATC